AAATCTCTAGAAAATTATTAGAGACAGAGGAAAAGCGTAAATTTGTAAAAATCGTCCACAGTGGAGGGATGACTATCGCCCTCAAAGTTTTAAAGATAGCAAATATATTTACTCTAATATCTCGAAAATGATGAAAAATAAAGGAATAGCGTAAATTGACGAATTTTTCAACGACAAACTCGAAAAATAAAAAACAATAAACAATTTTGACCAAATACGTTCCTTACACTCATCTTTAACGGCGATTTCCACCTCCCCAAAGTAAACAATTCCAAAAAAAAAAAAGCGTCAAATATTTTTTCAATTGCTCCCACATACCAAAGTTTCATCCATATCGGCGAACGTTCCCCTGGAAGACTAAAAATCTTCTCAGCGTACCTCATTAACCATCGAAAGGGTTAAGAGCTGGACTTTTCGCGAGGCAAATTACGCGGAACGAATTCGATTCGTTAAAGACAATTATCAGTCGAAAAAACAGAAGGAAAGGCTATAAGGTAATTCCTTCGTTGCCGTTAATTCGCTTTGGCTTTTTCGCGCGCCGGCTATACCGACGGATAAAATCAAGGCGCAAATCCGAAGGCAAATAGAAAAGTTTCGTCGGTTGTTTGCCGAATCCGGATTGTATTTGCGCGCGAGAAAATGTTTGCCCACGGTGCAACAAAAATAACGAATAGAGTGCCTTCAAATCCGACAACGATCCGACACCCTCGGCTAGACGAGGGTGAAAAAATCCTGTTAACGATGCACATTTCCCCCGACAATGGACACAAGCTTCCAAGTCGTAAATTTATCGCTGATGAGATTTTTCAGGGGGACTAATTGTTGCTGAAGCTACTCGATTACCCTTGCTCTCGCGAGAATGCTAATGTAGCTGAAGCTGAAAGTTGCTTGCCTGGCTGTTTGCGCTTTGCTTCTGTCGCGTTAATCGTCCGTTTCTCCTCTCCGAGTCGCGTTCACCGTAGGAAACACGAAGAAACCTGGTTCGGTCGATTAATCAATCCTCCCTCTTCGATTTCAGTCGCGAAAATTCGCCGATTTTACCGGTGGAAATGAAGACGTAGCGGTGGAAATTGGCGGGAATACAGTGGTTCGCGAGGAAGAGACAGGGAGAAACGATGCTTGAAAGGGAAGGTGACGTCAGGTTTTATTTCTAATGGAGTGGAGCTCTTATCGAAGCCAGCTTCTATTCCCTGTACAACGGTGATCGATCACGGTTATCCTTTAAATCTATAAAGGCGATAAAAGATCGCGTCCGATCCGAGCACCGTATAATTTCCACCGTTAAACAGGTTTCTCGCTTGACAAATTGCGATCGTTCTCCGTGAGCGGAATCTTCAACTGGAAACGCTGAAGGGAAGGAGTGGAAGGAAGATAACGTTGTCTAATTTGTCCCAGTCAAAATACATCTATCGAGATTCCTTTACCCTCTTCTCTTCTCTTCTCTTTTTACGATCGTTTCTCTTTGGAAGAAGTAACTTGTCATTAACTTCAGACCGTGTTACGTTTTTTCTTCTCTCTGCCGATTACCCAGAATTTCAGGTGAAGGGAGGAGAGAGGTGAAAGAGGAGAATTTTTCATTTCGATATCGAGGAGATCGAGAGAAGAAGAATACGGAAGGCGGCCAGGCGAAAGAGAACAATCGACGAGAGATCTTCCACGGCGGAGAATAGAAGACTGCTCAGTGGGAGAGATATTGTCGGATACGTAGGTGTCGAACGTGAAATCGAGCGGAACAGACTGACTTCCATGTAACTATCGTCTTGCGTATCCTACGGAATTGGGACGTGTGGGATGGGCGAAGGTATCTCGCGCGTGAGAACGCGAAATAAAGGTTACACTCGCGAGCTGCATAGGAAATTCAATTGCACCGGCTGTTCCTCTTCGATCGCGATAACTTTTCTTCAGTCGCGAGACGATCAGAGCGAGTCAGTTTCGCTTTGACGGATAAATCTTCCTCGCCTTTCGATCACGTTCGACGATTAACCCTTTGCAATCGAGTGGCGACTGAGAAGCGACGTTGAATAACCGTCACTTGGTAAATAAGTAACGAAGACAGAGAACAGATCTACGGGCCTCCGTAAATTTCTTCACCACGGTGAAATAGAGAATACGTCGGATATTTAAAGAAAATGGTATACTTTACATCTACTTTTCTAGAGCTAAATCACCTCCG